ATCGATATGAAATTCTACAAATTATGCATTAGTTTAGCTTGTCGTCAGCCTCAGAATTAGTAACGTTATACTGTGCTGCTGACTTGATAATGCATAAACCGACACGAGAACTGCTAGCTAATAATGCAACTTTTTTATATTTATTTACCCACATTTACACAAACAGAACTATAACGATAAATTGCATTGCAACTTCACACATGCAACTCCATCTGTGCTATTTTGACCTTGTCTATAAATGATATGTTGATAAAAGATTGATACATTTTCTTTTTCCTTTTTAGCTACAAGCGTTGGCAAGTGTTATCAACTCCGAGGCACCCCAGACCACCAGTACCACCGGTCTCAAGCTTCAATAATAAAATAAACAAACTTGTAATAAACAAATTAAACGTGTTTGACTTTCTTTGGTCAATCGTTACGATAGACAACTCGGATCACCAGAAAAATGATGAATGTAACGTAACATGTATTTTGATAATGCATAATCAAAGTAGCTATAGCTGTAGGCTAAACTAAAAATAAATAAATAGCGGAAATATTTCTTATAGTATTATTGATTTTTAACCATAATGTTACTTATAACGTTTGGTAACACAATAAAAATATACACTATCTCAACATTTGAATAATATTGTTCTGAGAATCATACCGCAGTGGATATGGCTCGGGCGTCAGTTTGGTTTGAAATGTGCTGGGGACAGAGACGCATTCGGAAGGGCATTTTCAAAAGTGCTGGGTAACGCATTCATTCTTTTTTCTCTTTCGAGTAGGTAATGTTTTGAACGACGATGTCCATAGCTTCCTGACGCACATAAATAAAAATGAGCACAATACAGTGATGGTCCGGCCAGAGGTTCCGCACTCGAATAGTTTTTATTTCCCCCTCATCAAAACCAATAATGTTTATCAGTGGTTGAATTGATATAATGTTTATCAGTGGTTTTATATGTTTTGATGAGTGGGGGAAAATATACGAGAGAGGAATTAGAAACCATGAGAAAAAGGGACACGTTTGTGTGCATTTTTATTTGTGATTTCACCGGAAAGAATCTCCGCAACGGATTGAAGCGCGTTTCTGAGAGAAGCCAACACATTTCAGTGCTAGATCGCCTGTTATTTAACAAACAAATGAAACGAATGCTGTTAACTGGAGATGTTTTATTTGCATTGGTACATATGTGCCGCGAGATGTTTCAAAAGTGGTGGGGACAAAATCCGTTTGTTCGCCGGCTTCTCTGAAAACAAATTCACATGGCCTGCCTGAACGAGATGGGAGGGGGAGTTGACAACGAGTTTACGACAGTTTTCTCATATATATATACTCCGAAACTGTAGGGGGAGCTCGAGAGAGAAACCTGCGAGAAAACAGCAAAGAAGTTTCCAGTCTTACTGAGCGCTGCTTTAAGGCCGGTTCACACCGGGGCGAATTTTGCACGCGATGTTCGCCGATGTTTAACGCCTCATGTCATCACTAAATAAAGGGCGCCAATGTGAGTGTGCACACCGACACGAAAAACACATTCATTTTTTTAATGCTTCAAAAACTATCCGACCAATGAGATTGACGCTTTTGCTCACGTGTCTGTGGCTTCTGAAGTTACAGTAATGCCTAGTTCACACTACATGATTTTAAAATGTCGGGCTGAACTGTGCAGTTCACACTACATGACTTGCTCTCAGTGAAATCATGAGTGTTCAAGTTGTTTAGCTGTTCACACCACACAACACAACGTGATTGATCCACAACAGGAGGTAACTCACTACACGAGTTAAAGGGTTAGTTCACCCAAAAATGAAAATTAAGTCATTAATTACTCACCCCCATGCTGTACCAACCCCGTAAGACCTTCGTTCGTCTTCGGAACACAAATGAAGATATTTTTGATTAAATTTGAGAGCTGTATAACTACCACATTGGCTCCTAAAGGACTGCCTCTTGACGGCCCAGAAAGTCAATGAAGAAAATGTTTAAATATCCCAAGTGACTACCGTGGCTCAACTATATGTTTATCAAGCGACGCGAATACTTTTTGTGCGAAAAAACAAACAAAAATAACGAGTTTATTCGACTATTTCTTTTCTTCCTTGTAGGCCAGAACGAGACTTCCTTAGATTTCCACGACGCATGCGCGAGATTTGCGATCTGCTCACATCAGCTTACACCACTTCAGATCGCAATTCTCGCGCATGCGTCGTGGAAATCTAAGGAAGTCTCGTTCTGGCCTACAAGGAAGAAAAGAAATAGTCGAATAAACTCGTTATTTTTGTTTGTTTTTTCGCACAAAAAGTATTCGCGTCGCTTGATAAACATATAGTTGAGCCACGGTAGTCATAGAGATACAACCACGATCGGATGATAAGAGCATATCATTTGTGACTCAATGAGAGCTGTTTCAGTACTATAATACGGTCTAAATCCTGAAAATAATCAAACAAATAACGAGTTGACAACAACACGATTCTATATGGTCTAGAAACCATGTTTTGTAACGAAAAACCACGCAATAAAACGAACCAGAAATTACGCGAAACTGCAGAGAAGAACACAACACGCGAATATGGACGTCAGACAGAAACTAGTGCTGCACACTGTTTGCTCGACGATCTTTTCTGAGAAAAAAAAATGCAAAAAAGAAAAAGTAAGATTTACCTGGTGTCCTCAACCCATGCGTTGCTATGATTGGCTGTACTCATGACATCACTGAGATTGAGTCGCGCGACTGCGCGAGATATCTAGCATGCATGCTAGATATTTTTCTGAGCTCGGTGACCTGTCTGCGAGCGGTCTGCGAGCTGTCTTTGATGCGTTGTTGGCTCTTTCACACTAACTGATTGGCGAGCGTTAATCGTCCGCTAATCGCCCGCGATTTGCACGCGATAACACCCTGACTTGTCGGCGACTCAACGATTTGCAAATCGGGCTTAAATCGGGCTTAAAATCACGTAGTGTGAACTAGGCTTTAAACACAACTTGGGGGTGCTCAAACACAAAACGGTCTTGCCGAGCACACATACGTAACGGCGACGAAGATATATGCCAAGTAGCATCTGCATTGCTGGGAAGAAATAAGACGAGGAAGATGCTAGGCAAGATGAATTTAGAGCTGCTGGTCTCGCTGGTGTCGGAACATAAAGAACTATATGACAAACGTGACAGTGACTACAAACATCTTGATAGATAATAATAATAATAATAAACACAACGTCGCCGTCGGACCAATGTTTGCTGGGGAAAGACTTGATCGGGGGCAAGTTGTACAAAAAGTTGACGAACTACTACAAATGTGCTGTTTGGTAAGTACATTTTGTATTATTTTATAAATGTGATTTGAGTTTTGTAATTTGACTCAGGAACCGGAATAAATGATGCGTACACTTTCAACTGAAAGGTTTGAGTTTGGATAAGTTGTGAGTTGTGACGTTCGCGAACGAACCGATTCTTTTGAACGGCTCATAAACATGAAGCCGAGTGATGAGCCGAGTCGCGGCTGGAGGGGAGCCGTTCTTTCTGTCGTTCTTTTTTTCCTATGCGTGTTTTACACAGATGCACACAAATTAGCTCCTCGGTTAAAGGGGAAGGGGCGAACCCAGCGCAGGGGTGATAGTTGTGATATTTGTGATATCTTCAATAAAAGAAGGCAATCAGGGCAAATGCATTAAATGGGCAGAAAATAAAAGGGATGAAAGATCAAAAAAGAATTAGAGGAGTAATAACTGGAATCCCTGAGAAGGAATCAATGGAAGGAATATGTACAAATATAAAAAATGTAAATGTGAGTGAGGCAAAAAGATTAAAAACAAAAAGAGATGGTGTAGTATGTGATAGTCTCTCAGTACTGCTAACCTTTGAAGAAGAAAGACTTCCAGAGACAGTTTTTATAGGGTACATGAGCTATGATGTGAGGATGTACATACCACCCCCTCTGAGGTGTTTCAAATGCCAAAGATATGGGCATGTGGCAGCAGCATGTAAAGGGAAAATAAGATGCAGTAAATGTGGAGTACTTGAGTTACTGACATGGCTTTCTAATTTTTAACCCGTTTAAGAGACTCACAATAGCCTATATATCAGTTTCAATTTGAAAAAAATAAAATAAAACACGGCCTTGATTTGGAGAATTCAGCTTTATGAATATGGAATTTACCTACATCACTGTTGTTTAAACCAATGAGCATTAAGCTGTGTCGTCAGCAAGTCGTTTCCCATCATGCTAATAGGCTTGTTCGACTTCATGCAGCTCTGCGCAGACCGATCGGCGGCTGACTTGAAACAGTGCATGCCGGTTAGAAATTTTGTCCGACTTGATGCAGCGCTGACTCCACGTGACTGTGATGTATGCCATCAAAGTACCGCGAGAGCGATACGAGATTAGCCGGAGGACTCAGCCAGCGCAGCTTCTCAAGAGCGGCTGCACGAGCTCTGATGATGTCACAGCTGTTCCACGATTCGTCGGATTCAACGCATGACAACGATCACGTGCGTTTCGTGTTTATTCTCGCACATTTAGTTCCACTAAAGCTCACAAATCTGTTTTCTATAACAGTAAACAGTCTTTTCATGTAGTCCCGATGTTATATTGTGTCATGTTTATCAAAATAAAACTGATTAAAAAAACGTTTAAAACGTACTCCACATCATTGATTATAGGCTTATATTGAACATTATTCTAGTTCAAACAGATGCTGTATGAAGCAGTAAAGTGTTGAATGAATTAGCGCTGCTGATGACACTGTGGAGTGACGCTCGAGTGATCAAGTATTCCAATGTATATAAAAAAGCTTTTATTTGATTCCTCTGTCCTCTTTTCCTTTCCTCGCTTTCTTCCCTCACGTCCTACAGGGGGTGGAGTTGAGACGCAAGGAAAGGAAACGAGGATGCACAAATAAGAAATGAGAAGCACCCCCTGTCGAATGGAACGCACCTCAAGACGCAGGGCAGTGTGTCATGGTGACTTTAGCTCCTGTCCAGCGGGAGGCGCTGTTACTCTTTTGCGCTATATCTCACCGGAAGTGCATCGCACATGTTGCGTCTGTTTTCCAGCGCTGACTGAAGGAGTTTGTGAACGCATGTCTGTCATGATGGATTCGCCAGCGCCTGTCGTTAGTGAGCCGAGGACGCGCGGGAAGAAGACGCGGGGGAAGAGGCCGCTGAGCGATGCCAGCGCGTCGGAGGAGCGCGGTAAACAGCAGAGGCACGCGGAGCTGTGCGCAACGCTCGGCGGGGAGGACGCGTCCGTCAGGCACCTGGAGGAGCTCGTGTTTGGTGCGGAGGAGCGGCTCGCGGACACACTCGCGCAGGTACAACACACATTCCAGATACAACACACAGTCACAACACACACTCAATGTACAACACACACACAATAAGGAAGTAATGGAATAGTGGAATAAAGTCGTTATTTATGTTTTTTTCGCACAAAAAGTAGTCTCGTCGCTTGATAAACTTATAATTGAGCCGCTGTAGGCACATGGAATATTTAAACCTTTTCTTTAATGACTTTATGGGCCGTCAAGAGCCAGTCGGCAGTCTATATAGGACTGATCCAGCTCTCAGATTCAATCAAAAATATCTTTATTTGTGTTCCGAAGATGAACGAAGGTCTTACGGGGTTGGCTTCATGCCACGCCCATAGTTGCCCATAAATAGTCCGTGAAACGCCCAAAAGTTAATATTCATGAATTGCGAAATCATGTTAAACACAGAGAGGAAATTAAAAAAAATGCAACTTCACTCAATGTGAAGTAGAAGTTATCGTTGGCAAGGTGGAAAAGAGGAGAAAAATGTTGTTTGGAGGGCACAGTGTGGGCATTACTAATGCCAAAAAGGCACTTGAGTGGCAAAAGGTTGCAGACGCCGTAAATGCTGTAGCCTCACAACCTCGGACTGTGGCTGAAATAAAAAAGAAATGGTCGGACATCAAAGTCGAGGCAAAAAAAGCGTCTAGTCATTAATTCAAGAGGTGGCCAAGGAGTTGGCCGAAATCAAGACTGTCCTAACTGAAATAAACTGCATAATAAACTGCATAATTCTTGAATAAATAATATATTTTTCCACACCTTTTGTTGTGAAGATGATGCGTTCACTCCGAATCGTTCCATTTAATCGCCACATCTTCTAAGAGCTCAAGATCAGCCATTGTGCGTCATTATACGCATTGTGATGGGGCATTTTATTTACATCCATTTAATTCTGCATCTGACAAGCTACGGATGTCGGTTATAATCTACTTGGAAATGGGAAATAGTTCAACGCAAATGTAATTTCTTGCAGCTTTCTGAATGGTTGAGACACGTCATACGTTATTGTATCAAAAATAAAACAAACTAAATGCATATACCAAGACATTTTTACTATGAAAACAACTTTTCCCAGTGGACAAATAATATTTATCGATCTATCTATATATCTCCCTAATTATCTATCTATCTGACTGACTATCTAATTGCTATATCTGCTCCGTTAGATGGACATATTGGCGAGAATATTAGTTTTGTACATTATTTCGTTCTGTTTACCATCTTATTTATGAGGATGAATTGCATACCAATATTATAGCAGAAAATATTTCACTTTCTTTTTGGAAATATGTGTTAATTTGCATTTCTGTTACAGATCGATCAAACGGGTGTTCGTGTAGGCTGTTAATTGTAAGCTGTTAAGACTTGCTTTGTGAAGTATTCGTGTTATTTATGAGAGGCAGTATTGCATTTTATTTTACACAACCGTCTACAGTTTCACACACTTTCACGTGTTTTTTCCAACTGCCGACAGTGTCGCCATTTCTCATTTCACCCGTTTTTGTGCGTACGCCTGGGTCAGAGCTTGCGTGAAGGACCGCACATTTTACTGTCAAGTTTGTTTTTTATAAATACCAACTATTGCGTAGAGAGCAGCGTACGCCTTCTTTTGTGCGTACGCAACGTTTATAAATGAGGCCCCTGGTGACCAAACTTTCGTCGTGGCGACGTAACCAGTTATGTTGTGGCAACCGGAAAAGTGAAATTCCCAGATACGTTGTCACAACGTAACTTTGTAACGTCGTCAGCAAGTAACTGCGACGTTGTAGCAACATCATGGATCAATAGTCGTGTGTTGGTAACCAGTTGGTCATTTTAGTTTGAATTAATATGGGCGGACAAGCAGTGGTCTAATTTAACTTGTCCTCATTTGCCCAAAACTATTTTGGATACTTTTCAACGACATATACGAAAGATACAGACTCAGTATTTGGTTAATTAATTTCATTTACTATAGAACAAAGCACAAACAACAGCAAAACCAGTGTGCAAACAGGTTTACAAACATTTAAATTAAGGTTTTATATGAATATAATTAAAATAATGTAAGAAATGTAATGTAAAAAAATAAAACTAATGATTTTCTATTTTAATATACTTTAAAATATAATTTAATCCTGTGATGCAAAGCTGAATTTTCAGAATCATTAATCCAGTCTTCAGTGTTACATGATAAAATATTATACACAGGAACAAATTACACTACTATATATTCACATGCTATAATATTTGTTTTTTGTTGTTGTTTTTTGTCAAATAAATGTAAGCTTTATAAGCAGAATAGACTTCTTCCAAAAAATATTAAAAATAGTAACGTTTCCAAACTTTTGACCGGTACTGTTTATGATTTTATACAAAATAAATAGTAGTTAATAAGACTGACACTTTATTATATCTAGTATTATTGAAGCAAAACAGAGTCCCTATAACAGTGCAATTTGTATATTTTTAGTCTTCGAGAAAATGTTTTTTCCCTTTCTCTCACAAACACAACACATCAGTTACACCTTTTTAAATTATTCGTTGCAGGTGCGCACATTCTATTCTACAAATTAGCAAACTCATAGGGTCATATTTTTGTTGATAAACAGTAACACTTTGGCCAATTATGCACATTTCTTGGTGTATAATGGTGTCAAAAAACTTTAAAACTTCTATAAAAAAAAACTTTCTCTCTGTGACTCTGGAGTGCTCTGATGCTGGTGTGTGTGTGTGTGTTAGGGGTGGCACGGTTCACGAAACCGACAGTTCGGTTTATATCACGGTTTTAGGGTCACGTGTTTCGGTTCTGTACAGTTCTTGTTATTTTTTTCTTTTAATCTTTAACACTCCAGAAATGTACTTCAGCATGTGATAGCTTAATTATCCACACTTTAGGATACAGTATAAAAAAAATTATATTCATGCAATCATGCACAAACTGAATTTGATTCTTTGACTTTAAGCACATTTTGGGACTATCTCAGAGGAAAGCTAGGGGAGATTTTGACACAGCAAGAGAGAAGACATTGACATGCTTTTCGTTTATTTGGCAAAAAAAAGAGAATGTGTATCACTATCATAGGCGGAGTTTGACATTCAAGCCAGGGGGGGCAAAATAAATAAATAAATAAATAAAATTCATTGTAGCAGCTGACCTACATGGTAGCACATATGTACAAAACAAACATGCTAAAAAAACATATTTATTTTTAACCCAAGAAAAAACAGTGAAACAATACAATCATATTTGATTGCCTTTATTTCATTGTAAACAGTTAGAACTTCGCATAAACAACCACTTGACTTTGCGTCACATCTTCGTTATTAGGATCATGAAACGTGGACCACTTTTGCCCTGTTAAAATATTATCTTCAACCAAATCGACAAGATTTGTTTTCTTTCCTTTTCTCAAAACACATTGTGGCAATAAGAGTGATTGAAAAAACTATCTATATTTCGCATTTATACTTCATGAAACATTTAAAATATTTTTAGACACGGGAAAAATGAACAGTCACAAAATATGCTAGTCTACTCTCCACATTTGAAACATATTAACAGCACATTGTCTCTCCAACTTAAGCAGTTATTTGGCAGAAAAAAAAACTTACAGACCTAGACATTGTCCAGACTAGTGCAACAGTAATTTTCGTTTTTTGCGTAGGTTACTGCATATGCGTCGATAATGGTCCCAGGTGAGAGCTTGGCCGTAATGTCGCTTTCAATGTGAAGGATCGCAAGAGATGAAAATCTGGCTGCTCAACCTGGCAGCGGGGTAACGTTAGGTAGTTTTGTTTTTTTTACAGCTTTTTAAAAAAAATGCGACTACCCGTTTCAGGCACCGGAAGGGCAATGATCCCCCTGCCCCCCCTGCAAACTCCGCGCCTGATCACTATGTCTACAAGAACTTGTGCATTTTTATCACACAAATCTTATTTACACAAAGAAATTAACTTGCATTTATCAACTGCCAACTTTTGTAGCTCTTACAAAAATTATATCTTTTAAAAGAAAAAAAGAGGAACTCTTAAAACACTGTATTTTATGAATAAGTCAATATACATGAAACCTCATTGCCTATAGACTATTTCACAAGATGTAAACAACACTGGTCCAGAAGCACTTCCTGTTTCAGTTTGTAACTGTTTTCTTTATTTCACATGTAAAGAAAACATCTTAAAGATCAGGGATGTGATTTTTCCGGATTAATCCGGAATTCCGGATTTTCCGACCTGAAAATGTGACCTACGTGAATCATGCAGATCTGTAAAAAAAAAAAAAAGGGGGGGGGGGGGTGTTTCGATTGTCGGCAGCCGGCAGCCGGAGTGAAAAGGAGAGAATATGAGGACATAACCCATAACTGGCTGACGTGCGTACAGAAAGTTCCTTTCAAAGTATCAACAAGGACGTATTTGCGTTCAGCCAGAGAATGTCTAATTGGTTCAGCTTCTTCACCTGCTCAATTTCGTATCTCAGTCGCTCTCGCGCTGGTATCGTTGTCAGTTGACAAGAACATCACAGTTAGGTCACCAGGGCTGGGCGATATATCGATTATATTTCAAATTTCAAACTAATGCGCTGTTCTGAGCGCGAACACCCGACGTGCTCATGCACTAAAAGCTTGTAACAGCGCCTGGTTGCTGGACTAAGTTATCTTTCGAGTAGTATTATTTCGCTAATACTCTCAAATATACACAAGGTTTACATAAGAACATTTGGTTATGTTAGCTCGTTAGCTGTCCTTAGCTCGGTATATTTTCCTGCTTTTTTGTCCTTAGCCAATCACATGCCTGAAAGTTGTTTGTTTAACTTTTTGATTCAGTTTTATATGTTCTGTTGGTTGTATTTTATCCTAGCTCTTATGTAGTGTTAAAAAACTGAAACAGGAAGTGCTTCTGGACCAGTGTTGTTTACGTCTTGTGAAATGGTCTATAATTAGGCTATAGCAAAAGCAAAGGCCATAAACATAAAGTGAAACAAGTTCAACCTCAACACAAAAGACAGTATCAACAATGCCTCTATTCCCAGAGAGTGAGGGTACTTTTTTTCTCTTGAAATTAAAGTGCAGGATTTGGAAACATTTAACTGAAGCTCTTATCTAAACATAAAGTGCCACTGTAGCGTTATATTAAAATATCATAACATGGAATCCAAAATGTTCCCACACACTGGACTTATACCATAGACTTATACGACGCTGGCGCATCCTCCAACTCCGTCATCTCTCCCACTTGCCATTTCTCCGCGTGCCGTGACCTGCAGCGCTCCATACTCCACTTTATATGGCTTGTTTACTAACTTGAACCGGCGCTGCACAGAGCGATCGGTAATGACATCAAATACCGCGAAAGTGATTGAAAAGCATACGGAGCCGTCGCTCTCGCACTAGTTTGATGTTATTCACCGATCGCTCTGTGCAGCGCTGGTTCAAGTCGAACAAGCTTATGTCGCGCGAAAAGAAAACACACGTCACATACGGGCACAAGGCTACATTGCGCATGCGTCGAACCGTGAGACGCACACACGCTTCGAACCGAGACAAGCGAACCGAATGGTTCGGGTGTTTTTTCATGTACCGTGCCACCCCTAGTGTGTGTGTGTGTGTAAGTGAGTGAGTGTGAGAGAGGTGCTCTGATGCTGATGTGTGTGAGCAGGACAGCAGGGCTCCACTGGAGGATGACGAGGTCTGTAGTGTTTCCTCCGAGGACAGCGAGGTGCGTCAGCACCACAGAAGAAGAGCAGTGTGGGAGGATGAGGAGGATGAGCTGGAGGAAGAGTAAGGCTTCTGTTGCTGTGACACACAGGTCCTCCTCAGGTGTGTGTGTGTGATCTGCAGGAGTAAAGCTCTTGTGTTTGCAGGATTGACATGACGCATCGGTTCCGCAGAGACTTGAAGAAGAGCGAAGCCGAGACAAAGATGACGAAGCAGAAGCTGCAGCAGAGACTGAAGGATCAGTACGTCACACACACACCACGACTGATGGACCAACAGTCTGATCTGAGCTAACACTCTGTGTGTGTGTGTGTGTGTGTGTGTGTGTGTGTGTGTGTGTGTGTGTGTGCAGGTTCCAGAAGGCGATGGGTGGTGCCCCAGGCTGGGCGGAACAGGAACGCCCCCGCCGGACAAGAGGTCAGTGTCATGTGACCCTCAGCTTTCTACCGCCGGTCCCGAAGACTGCTAGTGAAGCTAACGCTGTCCTCTCGTCCCCCGCAGGAGCTGAGCGTGAGGAGGAGGAGGCAGAGGATCTGCTGCGGCGCACTGGGAACTTCATCGGCTCCTCCGACACGCTTCCTAAAGGAACCATTAAGGTGTGTTAGTTACATGTGTAGATGTGTGTGTGACTTCAGTGTGCAGGTGTGTGTGTGTGTGTGTGTGTGTGTGTGTGTGTGTGTGTGTGTGTGTGTGACTTCAGTGTGCGGGTGTGTGTGTCACTTCAGTGTGCAGGTGTGTGTGTCACTTCAGTGTGCGGATGTGTGTGTGACTTCAGTGTGCAGACCTGTGTCACTTCAGTGTGCAGATGTGTGTGTGTCACTTCAGTGTGCAGATGTGTGTGTGTCACTTCAGTGTGCAGATGTGTGTGTGTCACTTCTAGGGCTGCAACTAACGATTATTTTGATAATCGATTAATCGGACGATTATTTTTTCGATTAATCGATTAATCGGATAAAAAATTATATTCCATTTTTTTGTTTATTATAACAAAATAAAACCCTAAAAACCACACTCTTTTGTGTGTTAAACAATGTATTAATACAGACAACTTCATTCTAAAGAAAAACAACAAATAAAAAAAAAATATATGACCATAACCAATGACAAAAATGCTATTGTAAACTAGATTAGTGGATAACTCAGCAAAACTTAGCCTAGAAATATCACAAGTGCAGAATAATTTTATAAAATCTGAACATTTGGTGAAAAAAACATTCCTTAGTGGACTGGGGAACAATTAAGAGACAATAAGTGTAGCACTAACTCTGGTAAAACGTACACATTGCTCTTTGTATTGTTGTTATAGATTCATGAAAAACATCGTAAAAATCAGATGCACAACTGTTTTAAATGTAAAGCACAGCTGTTTAGTGAGGAAGCAAAATATAATAGATAGGACAGAACAAGAAAGGCTATTAATAAGCTTTCATTGCGCAAAAGTATTATGACATGATCATGAAAGAGCTGCACAAAGTGCTTATGCGCATCGCGAGCGCTGAATGATGCGCTTGAAGCAACACGGAGTCACAGGGCGGCGCGCAGCTCTTCAGTGTCCGCCGCATTAAAGTTAAAAGCACCAAGACTGTGTATTATACAGTATCTATGCAATAGTTTATTAAGCCTTTTCTTTTAACAGTTTTAAATTTCAGTTAGGCTACTGTGCACGTGAAGAACAATTATACTGCGCCGACTCTACTATAGTGTTGTGATCTAACAGACACTCAGTAGAAAGTGATTAAGTTACAGCAATAAAAGTCTAGCAAGATAGAAAAACCATCATAGACCTTTATCTACGGATCAATTATAATAATAACAACATTGAATCATCTTGGAAACAGATCATCATGTTAACTGTTGTAACGCGACGCGCTGTTTGAACACCGAATAGAGGATGACTGACAGCCGCAGTGGAGGGAAAAGCTTAGGTTAAGGCCATCCTTAAAAATATTTTGGTTTGCAGTAACAGCAATTTTTTTTAAAAAAAGGGTCGGTAGGTAGGTCTATATTTTTTTTTTCCAGGATTCAGTGTAAAAAAAAAAGTAAAATTTTGGTAAAAATCATGAATTTTTTTTTTTTTTTTTTTTTTTTTTTTTTTAATTGCATACTGTGACGTTACTGACTGGGTCTTCAAACTGTGCATCCACCACTAGGTGTTATTGCAACCTACAACCGGTTACGTTTTTAGGCCAGTCACAAAATGAATAAATATCTACTGTATTTGTTATGCAGCAGTGTGCAGGCTTTTTTTTCCCCAAATACATGAGATATAAGCAAAAACAAGTACAAACACATGGTGAAACAAAGAATACAATTAAACAAAGATACAAATTAGCCTATATACACAGTGCTTTAATTTCAGAAAGGTCTAAAATTAGCTACTTTTCAGTTAAGTGTGTTGCGCTGTCTGAAAAGAAATTTAATTTAGTAAATCAAATGTAAAATGACACTGCATGGTTTATCATAGTTAGATTAATGCTTATTAAAGTTTAAGTTAATAATTCAAGAGCTGCGAGTGATTTTTCTCTGCCTTTTGTTGTGTTTGATTCCCATTACTGGCTCAATCGTCACATGTTTATTAAACTACTGCCCCTTTAAGACCGAGTGCGGATCTAACAGATGACTGATGCACCACCATATCCTCCCAACTATTCACATCCATTTAAGACATAAACTGTGTTTAAATGAATCTCAGAGCAGGTCATTTTAGATTTTATGTATTTGATAGTTTAGCTGCGCACATGAAGCCCAAAATGAGGCTATAGCCTACTTTTCTTGTCCCGTTGCAGTGCATTTCGGAGCACGCATCACCTTGTGAACAGCGTCTCTTGCGCAGACTTTTGTGCTTTTAATAGCTCTTTTAATGATTGAACCCGTACGCAGTTTAGCAACAGTACAGACTGCATTTTACAACAATTACCGATCGTGCTGATTCTGACGGTACGTTTGGGTTTTAGGAAGAAATGACAGCGCGACGCTGAAGGGAAGGAAGTTGCGCTATAGACAGAATGCGTCTGTAATGGTTTCATCTCAAATATCTTTTTATAATCTTTGAAAGCGGAAATCTAAAATACAATTAGAATAATATCCCAGATCTAAAGTGTAGGTAACCACGTTCTGTCCTCATTGTCACTCATTAAGCAGGGCTGTCATGTTGTTCGCGCTGTGGCTCCGGGTGAGAGATCGCTCTCTCTCTTCTGGACTGCGAATAGCAAAATTGCATCAGACAAATTGTTTAATATTATTATTATATATAGAAATGGATGATATTCAGCCCATTTAATACCGGGTTTACCAAGCGGGAACACTGAATGAAACGAAGCGAACGTATAAGCCTTATAGACAGTGTGACACGGGTAAACCAATCGTGTAAACATAATCAGATGACTATGACGCCACGGGTTTTTATTTAAAAGAAAGAACGTAGCCTACGTTTGTAGACATAAGCAACTTTCACAATACTAACTAAAATATCATTTTATGGAATTTGAATTAGTCGTTTGAAGAGTAAAAAAAAAAAAAAAAAATCGGTCGGTCTGAACGCAAGTTACAACCGGCAAGTCGGTCGGACTAAAAGGGAAAAAAAAATAAAAAATTGGGTCGGCCCTAAATTGACAGGGTCGGTCGGGTTACGGCAAACAAGAATATTTTTAAGGGTGGCCTAACTTGAATTTAATGACTTAAATATACATTTCTATCTCACATTATACTATAGTATGGCTTCATAAAGTATACACGATTAACGTAGGTCACCTATTTTGGTTTCAAAACGGCGAATTTACCGAAAGGTGAATGATTTTCGTGTATGCTACATATTGATAGCGGTTTCCTGATGCCCGCAAATTAGTTCAAACTCACGGAATCAAGAGCGCGCATGCGAGACAGAAGATAATGTGCTCCAAACCGTCCATGTTGCACGCGCGAGACAGGGTAGAGCGGCGAGGGAGAGAGACTGCATTTGCGCCTCATGAAGCGCATGTAAGAAGCGCATGTTCCATGTAAACAATCCCCGTGATGTAATCAGACCAACTAATCGATAATGACATTCGTTGACAACGATTTTCATGATCGATTATAATCGATTTTATCGATTAGTTGTTGCAGCCCTAGTCACTTCAGTGTGCAGATGTGTGTGTGTGTCACTTCAGTGTGCAGATGTGTGTGTGTCACTTCAGTGTGCAGGTGTGTGTGTGTCACTTCAGTGTGCAGGTGTGTGTGTGTCACTTCAGTGTGCAGATGTGTGTGTCACTTCAGTGTGCAGATGTGTGTGTGTCACTTCAGTGTGCAGATGCATGTATGTCACTTCAGTGTGCAGGCGTGTGTGTCACTTTAGTGTGCAGACGTGTGTCACTTCAGTGTGCAGGTGTGTGTGTCACTTCAGTGTGCAGGTGTGTGTGTGACTTCAGTGTGTAGGTGTGTGTCACTTCAGTGTGCAGATGTGTGTATCATTAAGTGTTATTTATTTATACATTTATATATATATATATATATAATATATATATATATATATATATATATATATATATATACCTATACATGTATGTGTGTTTTATACAAAATAATAATTCACAGTACCCAGTTATGTAAACGCACACTTTTATTTTGGGTTTTATTTAATCATTTCACTGCCGTAGTGTGTGTGTGTGTGTGTGTGTGTGTGTGTGTGTGTGTGTGTGTGTGTACTATACATACACACACACACTCATATTATATATTTATTGACTCTTATGTTGGATGTGATTGGTTGGTTTGTTTTATTTCTTGTAGACTCTCATTATTCAGGTCAAACTCTTGTGTGATGTTGAAGAGTTAGTTGTGTTGTTGTTGTTCAGATAAAGAAGTGTTTGGATGCGAACAGTGAGAGTCCGGCCGAGTCGAAGCTGACCTCAGTCCAGTTCCACCCGTCAGCTCAGATCCTGATGACCAGCTCTCTGGACCACTCCATATCTCTGTTCCAGGTGACACACACACACACACCTGGACCACCCCATATCTCTGTTCCAGGTGACACACACACCAGGACCACTCCATATCTCTGTTCCAGGTGACACACACACACACCAGGACCACTCCATATCTCTGTTCCAGGTGACACACACACCAGGGCTCGAGACTAACAGCGTCCTATCGTCCTGGGGACGATAGAAAATGTGTTTAGGATGAACAGAAATATTCTCCAGGACAACGACAGGACGAAAGACATTTTGTGTGCGTGTTCACAGGGCTCGAATTACGGCGCAGGATTGCGGTATTGCGCATAATTCTAATCATTCCCGCAGGTCTCCTATTTATAATGCGGGATATTCCCGCAATCGTAATCCACACAGGTTCTAAAATGCCAGATGCAATTTCACAAACCGCGTGAGTGTTCAGCGGTGCCGCGTCTTTCAACTCTTCTCTCAAAATGTGTTGTGCAAGGCAAGCATCAAGCGCTGCCGCGATAATACACACTCGCGTTCAAGATTCGGGACATGACGGAATATTCACTTGCGCAATAGGGCCAGCAGTGCATTGTGAATGAAGTTTACCATTTGCATGTCATGGACTATGATCCATTCAGCTTAAACACTCCCAAGAAACTTCAGGACACAGATGATTAATTTCCTGCAATATAGTACAATGACATGACAATATTAATAATCAAACCAAAAATACACAGTAAAAGTGTAAATAGCAGGGCTAACATAGCAGTTTAGCCTATCTGATAATCACAATTGAGCTAGTAAAAACGACCAGCAGCAATAAACAAAGCTAATTTAGCCTTCTCAATAATTTTACAAAATTAAAATAAGCAGTAACTTAGTGTCAAACAACGATAAATACTCACAGACGTTGCATTAGCAAAGGGGGAAAAGGAAAAGCGATGGATTCAGAACTGACGACAGATAGAGCTCACACATTACTGTAGCCGCTCACCGCATGGGCATTTTTACTTCCTGTTTCCGCACATGCGCAAAACTGTATTACTATGGTTATGAACCTAAACAAACCACATGTAACTACTGATACAGATAGAGCGGCATGACACAAGTCTTGCCAGTTTAAACATTCAAGCGATTTTAAACTAATCAGTGCTCGCGCGCTTTCTGGGATGATTTTCTATATGCTCACATTCATAGAAAATCCGCCTCAAGAACAGCTGAGCTGGGCAGTAACAAAAGTTATTTTTCACGGATTATATTGCTTTAACACGCAAAAATGTGTCAATTTCAGTCTTCGTGAGTATAATAGTGTAAACATAGTCCGTTCTGTCTTAAATAAAAAGCATAAAACGCATGCCAGTAGGCTATATAATGAACACAGAATCCGTGCACTAGCTCTTAAAGTGACAGCGACCATATGTGTCGGTCATTAATTTTGTCATCAAAACAACAAAAGAGAGCTTCAAGTTAAAGGAATCAGGATTAATAGCCTATGTGTTTAATTTATTTAGGACTAAAATACTATCCAGTGTTATTTTCCGTTTGATTACTTTATTCTGTTTCTGTCTATGAATACTAGTGTTAGACCTATTCAAAAACTTTTCTCTTAATTTCTCTTTATTTGTATCTTTATTCTATTGTATTTATTTGTGCAATTTTTTTCTATTTAATTGAACAATTTAAGCTTAATCAAGCTTTGTGTTGTGTAAATTCTTAACATTACCCCATTGTAAAAATGCAATGAGCGGAAACATTCAGGCAAGATAAATAATAATTTTGTGTGGCAAAAATTAAGGTATTTTTTTAAGTCACAGTAGTTAAATCTGTATCTGTATTGCATGTTCAAACTTTAAAATTATTCATATTAACTGCTTAATAGATTGTTTTTCTTGAAGTATGTAGGTTTGGAAATTTTAGAGAAATTCGAAATTAATGCATTACAGTTGAACTAAACCCATTATATTTTAGTCATCTGGATTGTTTTAGTTAACTAACAGCTATGGATGATGATAACAAAGTACAGAAACAACATTGTTTCTGACTGTTGACATTCACTTTAGGACGGTTCAAATTGTTTTTCTGGACGGTTCCAGGACGGAGGTGAAAAAAGTTAGTCTGGAGCCCTGACGCACACACACACACACACAAACAGGCGCACACATCTTTTTAGAGACTCTCCATAGGCGTAATGGGTTTTATACTGTACAAACTGTATATTCTATCCCCTTATCCTGCCCTTATCCCTAAACCTACCCCTCACATTCTGCATCTTTACATTTTCAAAAAAACATTGCTTAGTATGATTTATACGCTGTTTTCCTCATGGGGTAGCCTGACTTCGTCATACTCATTTTCTATTGAGAAAATTAGTCTGAGACCGTTCCATAGGGCTTTGATTATGAGGTGTGTCTTAACCGAACGAGGAAAAAAAACTCTGCACTCAATTGGATAGTTGGACAGACCTACAACCAATCAGACAACGCAGTAAGACAACGCAGTAAGTCAACGCAGTAAATACTTTGCATAGCATAGCTGTCAACAACAGAAGAACTTGCTTATTTTAGAAGTAAAATAACGAGTGTTGCTTCTTTCACTTGGTCCTTCATCAGTGCGACCAAAGGAGAAACCACAACGACCACAGGCTTTTCATTACGTCCCATCTTCTTAACTTAGCGACCGTCAGAGCCAGCTGATAAGTTACACTTTTGCCGAATATCTTTCCGATCGACAAATGCCTTGATTGCAGTTTTCTGTTTGTCTATTAAAATGAATGCGCTGTCGATTAATTTTAAAAACAGACGCGACAGCGGAATCTATACATCTCAATTCTCTAGCTGCAGTCATCTCTGAGGGAAACTAGTTAGCGCTCTTTGATAACGTGATGATTACGTCCCTGCAGATCATCTGTCCATCATCGTATAAAGCCCGCCCTGGCAATCTGATTGGCCCGTTCATTTTTTGCCTGATCATAATTACTCCTCAATGGATCGAGTCCAGACCGAACTTCCCGACCAAAAAATGTTGTGGGCGGAGTTCGGGCTGGCATCCAGACTACTCATGGGGTCCTCTGGCTGGTCCCCACAATGTAGGTGATTTTCAAGTTTTATTATAGTTGTGGGGACATTTGCTCCACAAAATGTAATAAAAACAAGCACACACACACACACACACACACACACACACACACACACACACACACCTGGACCACTCCATATCTCTGTTCCAGGTGAGACACACACACACACACACACACCTGAATCAAACAGACCATTCTCATCATGACTTGCGCTAGATCTGATTTCGGAAAAACAAGTCTTCTTGCAAATGTGTTTGTGCCAACATCACTCCCGTTATGATTAGCAACATACAAAACATAACAAGTGCATTTTATGACAAACATTGTTTCAGTCACTCAGTCTGTTTTTTTTTTATGTTAAATAGTGCAATATTTATGAATTTGTGCTTATTTGGTTGCAAGTGCAGAGACTCTGCCCACAGGCTCTTCTGATTGGCTGTGAGTGTGTGTTGATTTGGTTGAGTGCAGAGACTCCGCCCTCAGGCTCTTCTGGGCTCGTTCTTCGTACGTTGCTTAAAACATTCGAGATCAAATGAGACATCTAAGATGATATCATCGTGCTAATCATGATCCGGCTAATTGGGTTCTTCGAACACACCTGTTTATGATTAGTATCGCTGGATTGAGTTATCTGAGATAACTTTGCGTTGGTTTAAAAGGGTACATGTATCGATAGCAGAACCAGTGATCAGCAACGCTGCTATTGGCTGTTCAGCATGGCCAAAGAACACGCCCAATTTTTCTCCCAAGCAGAGCAAGCGCTTTTAATGCAAGGTTATGCCAAATTTCAGTCTTTAATTAAAACGCCAGGGAACACCTCAAAGTGTGCAAAAGCCAGGAGAGAGTGTTGGCAAAACTAGAAGACAAATTAAATGCGTTTGTGGTGGCCATGTTAGATGTTTTAATAACTTATTATTATTTTATTTTTATTTTCATAATTACTTTGTTCATTGTAATGTCGAGTCACCACTAGACATGTGCCGGTATTCGGTAATGCGATAAATCGCGGTAATGAATATGCACGATATTGTTATCGCGGGCTCTTCAAAATACCGTGAAAAATAATAGATTTGAATTTAGACTTTTAGAGCGCGCATTAGCTTATTTTCCATCTACCGCTCAAACACTGCGTGCTGCGCAAAACACGCACGCACTCTGATGTAAACAATCCCCACATGTATAAGCACTGTGTGCATGCGACAGTGCGCACTAGTCTAATGTAAACATTCCTCACATGGAGTAGAAGCATGGCGGAACGCTCCCGACGATTTATCCCCGCAGGGCTGCCAACTCTCACGCATTCCGCTTGAGACTTTCAGACAGGACGCGGAATACACGCGCAGGGATGTTTTGTTGCTGCGTCCACCTGCATCGATCAACACACGCCGGGGTTAAAGTACAAAATAGTTAAACTTTTTATTTATAAAATGGCAAATCGCGTTGTATCTGAAGGGCAACGTTGAATCAAGCGGTCAGCGTCGCGCATTCCGCGTCCTGTCTGAAAGGCGCTTAACGCATTTGACACTTTTCACACGCTCTCCCACAGAGAAAAATCACAGAGCAAAGAGGACACTGACACCGACAGACTAGACAGAGCAGGTTACTTTTGATATTAAAATTGTTGTTGATAAATTGATAGTTATTGATAAATCAGCATTTAGGTTCTGATCACAGATCGTTGCTCCTCAGTTCAAGTAAACCGATCATGTTACTTTCGTTTTTATTTAAAGATACAGTACAACTTACCGAAAGGTATATTTACTTGTACATAATAACGATCAATGAGTGTTTTCAAACACGGAAAGAGGTCAGTAACACTGCAGGAGAACAGTTGTGTCACAAAACGTTACATTTACCTCAGGAAAGCCATTTAATGACCAGCAAATTAGTTGAATAGGAAAAAATAGCAAGGAGTATTTTGCTAAATATTTAATTATTCTCTGTTTTTTATAATTAAATA